GAGAATCATGAATGTTTAAACTAAAGATATGGTAGAATACTTTTGCTATTATTACTATGCATGCAAAAAAATATTTGTTATGTGTTTGTCTCTCTTATTAAGTTTGGGGGCCAAAAAGGCATCAGGTTATCCATAAGCAAAAGTAGAGTGATCAATAAAAGAGAGCTCGTGTTGTTTCTTCCGATCAAATGTAGTAACTTCCGATCTGACAGTGAATGGAAAGTCGTCGTCGGAGTGGAGCCGATGATGCACGACAGGGAGAAAGTTCCTTCACAGCAAACGAGCTCGTGCTGTTGCTTCCGATCAAAATGGCGTACCTCCCGATCCGACAGAACAGGGACGTCATCGAGGGAGGTGGAGGTAGGTCGGTCCTTCTCCTTCTCTCTCTCTCTCTCTCTGGATCGGAGGAGGCTGAGGCGTCGGAGCTTGTGGAGTTCGGCCGGCTTTGGAGTTCGGCAGAGGGAGGAGTTTGGATCGTGTGTGGAGTCGAGCGTGGAAAGGTATGGGGAAAGGCTTGCGATGTTTCAGCTCTATTCGCTCGGTATTTAAAGACCTGAATGGGAGTGGGATCGAGGGATCGACGCAAGATTTTTGCAGAAATCTCGGAACGGCGCCGGATGTACAGTGGTATCGCGGGATTTAGCACAGGTATATCTGTATTTTTTTGTTTCTTTTGAGCTTAATCCAGAGGTCAACAGCAACAAAACCTATATCCCGTTGAATGCTCTGGATAACCAATAAAAATAATTTGTTATAGGGTCAAAACTACTCTCGGAGGAATTTTTAAGCTTCACCTATGCAGGACAACCTGGTACTCCAAAATGGTTAAGACTAGGTTTTCTCCTCACTCAAGTTTCAAAAAAAAAATTAAAAACTTACTGGGAACTCGATTCAAAATGTATAAGGCTATTTTAACTGCTTTATTGCATAAATCTTCGTGTAAGTTTATCCTTTGTATCATGCTACTCAACATATCCTTAAGGGTATAGTGACTCCTTTTACCAATGTTTAAAAGACTATCAGACTTGGTATATTGGCCAACAATTGTAAACTTTTAAGTACATAGAAAATGGTCCCATATGCTATCCAATAGCGTAATGTTTGCCATAACACTCACCAAGACCATATTTAACAATTTTGATGACTTTATCAAATTTGTTGTCTATCTCCTATTTGAATATATAAAATTTACATAATGCTTCATTTTTTTCTCTAATCAGATAGAGGTACTCATAACGAGAACATTCTTAAAAAATGCAATAAAATACTTATTATCACAAAATATAGAAGACAATGATGCACTGATATATGTATGAATCACATAAAAAAGATAAGAGCTGTTTGTTCTTTTAGTTTTACTTTGCTTACCCCTAATGCACCTAATATAAGTCCCAAGATCATCAAAATTTGAAGAATGCAAACTTCTTTAGAAATATGACCTAAACCTTCTATGCCACAATGGAGATGAATTTTATTTTATGGAAGACCTTGGGAAATGATATTTTCATTATGAAAATAAAAGTGTGAAGAACCTGGTAATAAAGATAATCAATAGAAGCCACTGAACTACCTTCGCCAACATATTTTGAATAAAAAATAATTGTACATTTCTATCACTATAATTAAACTATAATCAAAATTTTCCAGAATAGAAATTGAAATTAAGGAACCTTTTTTTGGCAATTAGAAGTGTTGAGAATAGGAAAATCTTTCTTATTCATTAAATATGTTTGATTCTGGATAACATATGGACTGATCGAAAAAGAAGATAACTAAAGTACATCAAAATAAGAAAAATATCCACAACTATTCAAATGAATAGTAATCTTTGCATCTCCAATCAGATTTTAAACTAAGGTATTCATTATATGCTTTCCATGCCCTTTGATTTAGGGTATCTTATTTTTTTAGCGGTCAAACATACTTATGTGACCCAGTAGTGAAAGATGGACATTTTGGGGAAGTTGTTCAATACCCCAAACTTAAGGGTCTTGATAAATTTACACAACATTATATTCATTCCTATAACTTCTTTCTATTTCTTTCGTTCTCGTACTATATCTATTTTTTCTCACATACTTATTGTCTGGGTTAGTCAACCTGCAGGGTGATCCCAATCTTTCTTCAATTGGCTTCCTCATTATACCCCATTCTTGTCGAAACATAAAAAATTTGTCTTACCTATTTTATATATGCGAGAAAGTTTCCTTGATGATCATGCCTAGTTCACCAATTTCACTCTCTCCACAGCTTTTTCATTTTCCTCTAAAAACTGCCTCCTCACCCCATCCCATTCTCTGCACAACATTTATTTTTTGCATCTGGTGGAAGAGTATGGACCACCTTTTACTTTCCCTTGGATGTCCACACCATGTCAAATGAGCTAGCGCAGTGTAGGGCTCTCAAGGGTGTGCTTCCCACTACAACATTTGTTTCTCTTTTTTATTTCCTTCAAACTGTTAAAAATAGTTCCCAATATGCAAATCATGTATCAATGGAAAAAACAATTCAATAGGATCCAAATACCACCTTGAAAAGTTCTTAATATTCAGCATCAACAATCAACGATATATTTGTATAATGCAATGGAATTCTTATGTTTAGTTCACATCCGGTTATATACTGTTCAAATAGTAATGAGAATCTTTTTAATATACTATTAATTTCTTATGTCATAATATTTTGAATAAGCTTTGTCCTGGTAGAAGGGGATGCTTCTAGTGCATCACATTCATGTGGAAGATTGTTTCTTAAAAATTATTATCAAAAGGTTAAGTAGCTGTTGTGCTGTTCTATATTATGTTTTTTCTACAAACTTTCTTTATGTTATATTTATAGGCTGAACTTTCGAAACTGGGGGTATAGAATGGCCCCATAGACGCCAAGTTCAAAATTGATGGAATAGAATCACATGATAAGAAAAGTATTGATGACAGAAAACATCACTCAATTTTTCTCCAGGTACCTTACAGCTGGGATTATAGATTTTTCTTTGAGTTGCATGATAATTATTTACATTATTGCCCTCCTATGTCCATCCTGCCGCCCACCAAACAGTTAACTGGCATAATAGTTGACGTTTTAATTTGCTCAATTAATTACTGGCAATGCTTACTGTAAGACGGAAGAGATTTGTGATTTTGAGCTGCAACTTTGTGATACTTCACAAAGTATTATAGGCAGTGCTCTGAAGGAATTCATATTCTCAGGAAGGCTTGACAATTTGTGCATGTCATTTTGTTCACTGAAGGTGACAAAAGTTCTTATTTTGTTGTTTCTTTAATTGTTTTGGTTATTTTTTTGAGTAAATATTTCTGGTGGATAACCATAGTTGATTAAAAATTTGTCGTATCTGCATCTTTTTATATTAGTATTCTCTTGGTTTCTAGTGAATGATTTCTAGACATCAATTTCTCTGTTTAAAATTGCGCAATTAGAGGCGCGCCTTGAGGCGCGCCTTTGCGCAATTCTGCCCAAAAACGCCTCATAGCCTACGCAATTTTGGGCTTTCAAGAGGCGTACGCCTCACTGGGGCTGAGGCGCGCCTCAGAGGCGCAATTGCGCAACTCATTGTGAGGCGTACGCTTCTCTGGGTAGGGTCCACTCACTTAAAATGAAGTCTTTTTCTCTCCTTTAACCCTTAAACTTCAACATTACCCGACCTTTCTCCCTCCCGCAAGCTCCAGGTCGCGATTCCGAGCTCCGCATGCGGTCGGCCTTGCTTCCCGCCGCTCCTCCCGCCGGCGCCGCCTCTCTCCGGCGAAGTGGAAACTTCCGGCCACCCTCAAGGAGTACTCCACATTGGATTTTAGGTATTTTTATTAAGTTTATGGATATATTTTGCAAGTTTAAGAGAAACTAGGGTTTAGTTTTTTTTTATTTTTTTTTAGTGTATTTGATTTTTTGCTTTAGGAGACATAGTTAGAGGTAAAGAAAAGACGAATAAGTCATTGCGGAGGGACCCTTCTTGGAAGTATAGTGTACAAGTTGACATTGGCGGCGGAGAGAAGAAGTTGAGAGAGAGGAGGTTGAGGAATAAGGGGTTGAAGGATGATGAGGACCCATTAGTGTGTGATGATGTGTCGTCTGATAATGAGTGGTTCATAGATGATGAGACAGATTTACCATTATCAGACTTATAGTTAGAAGATCTAAGTGTGGATGTCTTGAGGGGCGAAGCAGATCAAGTTGGCACATCCACTAGTACTGCAGTTGGCACATCCACTAGCTCTGCAGCACAACAATCAAGTAAATGTATTCCACAACTTCTTATATGCTATTACATTACATTTATGTCAAGCGAGCAATGAACATGAATACATGATAATGATCTTTTATCTTAATGAACAAGGAAGAGAAAAGTGAGTCATGTTGAAGATGAAGATGACATGACATTCATAGATACAATTTGAGAAGAAGATTCACTTGAAGACCAATTTAGTGATGGGATATGATTTCATTTTATATGTTTTTTGTATTTTGGGTGTTTTGTTAAACTAATATTTTGTGATTTTGTACTTTGGGACATAATTTTATTGCATCTACTTTCTTATTTTCCACTATTGCTATTATTTTCCTGCTAAAATCCTTAATTTTTCATTTACGCAATTCTGTGTTCGTGAGTCTTACGCCTCAGACCGCCTCGAGGCTTACGCCTCGCCTCACGGACGAAAACCGCCTCGAGGCGCAGTTACGCAATTTTAAACCTTGATCAATTTGAAAGAGTTAACTTCTGTAATGTTGCTTCACATACTGATTTATGCATTAGGCAGAGAAGATACCAAAATAATGGAAATTTTTAGAAATAAAGGAAATTAATAAACTACATAGTATTCAATACAAAGATAAGAGGAGTTATATTGAGATTGTTACTTCAGTAAAATTATCTAACTTCCCTTGTATTCATTTCTGATGGCTTCAGTTCTTCAATTACTAATACTAATGAAGTTTAACAAATCTTTCCATAACTGCTGTCATTTTAACTAGGGTTGAAGTTGTTGTTTGTGTGGTTGCGAGGGGTATGTGGATTGCTAAAGTTAACTAGTTGAACAGGGTCCTCTTTATTTTCTATTTTATTTGTTTACTTATTTCATTGTTTTCTATAAGCCGAAGGCTATAGGTTATTTCATTTTTTGTCAATTTAACTACACTATCTAAATGTATTCTTCTTTTTGATAAGACGAAGAGAGGGAGTTGAAGGAAAGTTTGAATTAGGGATGTCAATCTTAGAGTTCGAAGATTTTTTCTTTTAGTAGATCTAAAATTGAATACATAGTGTGGTAGTAGTAGATCTAACGGAGGGTTTGTGACTTTAGTCTTTCAAGTTATTAAAAATAGTACACGTTTTAGATATCTCGGGTATGTTGTTCAAAGCGATGGTGAAATAGAAGGTGATATTATTTGTATAATTCAAATTGGATGGTTGGAGTGGAGAAATGCATTGAGTCTATTGTGTGATAGAAAAGTACCCCTCAAATTTAAGGGAAAATTTTATAAGATGATGCTGAAACCTGCAATACTTTATAGCATAGAATGTTGACCATTAAAAGAGAAGTATAAAATTATGTTAAGTGTTGCAAAGATGAGGATGCTCATGTGCATGAGTGGTTTTACTCTTAGAGACAGAATGTGAAACAAATATATATGTGAAAATGTTGGAGTAGATCTAGTGGAAGATAAGACTAGAGAGAGTCACTTTAGATGGTTTGGTCATATAAAACATCAGCATTTTTGATGACCCATTTAAGAGAGTAGATGTATTAGATTTGACCTATCTTAAGAAAAGTAGATGTATACCTAAAGAGACTTGGTTAGAAAGTATTAGAAATGACTTTTTTTTAATTAGAAATAAATGATAATTCGACTCTTAATATGATACAATGGAGAAAAATGATTCATATATTCGACTCCACATGGTGGGATAAAGGCTTAATGTTGTTGTTGTATCTAAATATATTTCTTGAGTTAACAGCATCCTTAGCTTTACTTAGCTTTAATATATACTTCTAACTAGAATTTTTAGTTCATTCAATGCCATAGTAATCGAAAGTTGGTTTGTGTTGTCTAGTCTATAATATTAATTTTTTTGTGGAATGATTAATTGGCTAATTGATCTGTACATTTTGTTGCTATCTACTTTGTTGTAGATTTTTTTATGCTTCCCAACATCTTTTCTAATATTGTGTCGGACACACCTCTTTTTCCCAATTTGAAATGTTAATTTTATTTTCCTCACTCCAGGCATTGATAGACTCAACAAGTTTTGAAAGTTCTCTGGATGAAGAGATTGGTGTGAGAATGGTGGCCCTGTTTGATCATGAGGAGGTTTGATCGAACTCAGCTCAAGGAGCTGATTCTCCTGTGATGTTAGATGCCTTGTCCAGAATAACAAATTCTTTCAACTCTTCAAACACCAAGGTAGAAATTGAAATCAATTATACATGCCACTTATTTACTACCTATAAAACATAGTATTTACAAGTCTCTATTGTCATTTTGTTTTTTTAGCAAATGAAGAATATCACCCCCAATATGTCCTTTGTTTATAATATTCAATTTGCCAAAATGTTGAATTGCAAATTTCCAATGGTACACTCTGTTAACTTCTTATTGATAATAGGAATCATAAATAAATATTACCTTAGGTTCTAGAAAGTGATATTTTCATCAATTTTTGAAAATATTTTTAGTCTTGTGATCAATATTTTAGTTGGTTGTTTTACATACTTTTTTTTTTCATACTTCATTAATCCTTTAATCTTATCTTTCAGTTAGTTGACAAAGCAATCCAGCAAAGTTTCCTCGTCTCCGCAGACATGGCGCATGCCATACATCCCAACTATATGGTAAATCATTTTTCTAGTTCTTGACGTCGCTTGTTATATATGCTACAATAAAATAAAGTTCAAGATTGTTAAGCTTGGTCCATTGGGAACTTGCGGCATCTTTCTTGCATTTCAACCTTTTTGATTGTTTTGTTGCCACTACGTGCGTTGCTATCTGAACCACTTAGGCTTCTCTTGGGACGGGTTTCTTACTATTTTTAAAAGTTGTTTTTTAGTATAAAAATTTTAATTTTTAAACTAGAAAGTTGTTTTAATAAGCAATAAAAAAATCGCCCAAACAAAGCCTTATTATTATTATCATTATTTCCTTTTCATGCTTTATGATTCTCTTACCAGGACAAGCATGAGGATAATCATCAACCTAAGTTGCACGGTGGGCTTGGGATAAAGCACAATGCTAATCAGAGATATGTGACGAATGCCATCACATCATTTATATTTAGAGAGATTGCTGAAAGGCATGACTTGCCCATTCAGGTAAGCACATTCTAAAATTGAAGATAGAAGGTATTGGCCTAATCGTTTTGATGGACATATTAATGCGCTAAAAAATATATAGTTTTTTCTATTGAGTTATGTCAAGAATATGATCCGGTTGGTGGTTGATTAAATTATATGTTACTAAACAAGAAGTATGGGTCCAGAGATGTAGTCTTGTAGATCTTTCTTACGTGCTAATTGCAAATGACAATGTTTTGACTTGCTTAATACCATATCCACTTCTCTTCTGATCCTGCATGACATACATGCTTCCTTATAGATTAGCAGTTGCTTCACAATAGAAATCAAGTCCCTTCCCTGGGAAACAATAACCTGTAACGGGAGAGACTTTCTGCTATTATCTAGATTATAATTGTAAAAAAGTTTCCTTCAAACTAGAATAATAAACAAACTTAAGCTTCGTTTGGGATGGTTTTTTTATTGTTTTTTAAGTAGCTTTCTAGTATAAAAATTTTAATTTTTGACTAAAAAACTATTTTAAGAAGCAGGAAGAAAGCCGTCCCAAACGAAGCCTTAATTGGTAACTTTTTTATGATCTCTTTGGTTCTCTTTCTTAGCTTAAACCAGGCATTTTTGTTTGTGAATCATGAAATTTTCTTATCCTGACACACCATAAAGGCAGCAAACTGCTTACCTTGATTGTCATTTTCATAACATGGTCTCGATGCCAACTGAGGCTTCGTTTGGAATGCATTTCTTGATGCTTTTTAAAACAGCTTTTTAATATAAATTTTTTAATTTTTGTACTCGAAAGCTTATTTAAGAAGCAATAAGAAATCCATCCCAAGCAAAATTTGAGTTGCTTAAATATTGATGATGATGATGATGATGATACTGATACTAGTAGGATTTCGTGGTCCGGAACGACATGCCATGTGGTTCTACCATAGGCCCCATACTTGCAAGTGGCGTGGGAATCAGGACCGTTGATGTTGGTGCACCTCAACTATCAATGCATAGCATAAGAGAGATGTGTGCGGTGGATGATGCAAAGCACTCCTACAAGGATTTCAAGGCCTTCCTCAATTAGTTCACCCTACTTGATTTAGGATTAAAGTGGATTTCTAGCTTCTAATTTTTCTATGTCAATAGGATACTTGCTGATGATTTCTTTAGATATATAGACTTCTGGTTGAATGTGCAACAAGAAAGAAGATTTGTTAGTCTTGTAATGATTTTAGGATTTTACTTGAAAAGAAATGTCTTTTGCCGCTGAACTGAAGGATTGGTTGCATTTTCCATTAGGTTTTTTGATTATGCTATTTCCTCTATAGTAGGAGAAATTATTATGTGAGGACACCGAATGATATTCGGAGACCATCAGAATGCGTTATGTCATTTTTTTGTTCGATATCAGTGCTTGTTACCAAATAATTTTTTTTAAAATTTGCTCAGATCATATAAGTTTTAAATATATTGAAAATGAATTGAATGAGAAATTTTAAATACATAACTAAATTATTTTTTTTCTTTCATCGAACCAAATAATTTTTTTGAAGTTTTACGTATTGAATTTCTTCTTGAGCAAAACAGAAAGTCTGTTAGGCATCATTCGTATTCTATAACTTTAATAGATTATAACAACAACAACAACATATTGCCTTTATCCTGTCGGCTACATATTATTTTTTGTGTCATTTCTTGCTAATCATGGTTTATCTATTTTTTAGTAGAAAATGCATAAAATTACGTTAATAAGAAAAAAGGAAACAAACTACAAACTAGATATCACATATTCTTCCTTTAACAAAGTCATAAAAGGAGGAACCTTATTATCATGACTAATGACATCCCAAATAAAAAAGCTAAGAATAGCAAAGTTGAGAACTAATGACATCCCAAATAAAAGAGCTAAGAATATCAATGTGTAATAACTAATATAAAATTCCTAACATTGGCTGATTTTTAGGCTTGTGAAAAAGCCTATGACAAATCATCTCTTATCTGGAACTCATAAATCATTCGCAAATAGCATTTATCATCATCATCCATAAACTGAAACATAAAAAAAGAGATCCTTGTAAGTTTTTAATAGAAGAAACAAAAGAGCCTCAAACATGAATGTTGTTTACCATTATTCCAGCAATATAATCCCCCAGTGAAAATAAGCCAGAAGGGGTGATATCTTCTTCTAGCTTATACGTGTATGGCTCATTTTGAGGGCTGAAAGATCCGAGCATAACGTTTTTATTTTCAACTGCACAATATCAAGCAAGTCACATATTAAGTGACCAATTGAACCAAAATGATATGAAAGAACAGTTAAAAGAATTAAAGGAACTATTGTTTGCTCGTCTTTCTCTACCTTGGAACAATTGAGGCATTTTTCACACAATGTTCGTGTAATGGAGTTCTGATACAATATTATTCGACGCAATGAATGAGAATTTGAATCGGTAGTGACTTTCCAGCTTAAGAGTAAATGCAAATCTCCTCGTATTCCGATTGAAGGGGATAGGTAGAACAATGTCTGATCTATCAGAAGTGATGATTGTGAGGCTCTGGATTGTCACTTCTGTATCAGGATTCTCTGCATTAGTTAATCCACACAATCAAACAAGTTGTTTTTTATTGAAGTATAAAAAAAAGAGCAAAATCAGATAGATAATTAAAGGATCAATAGAGGAAAATATCATGCTTTTCACAAGAACAGAGCAAAAAATAAGTAATAATTAAAAAATAAGGAATTGAAAATGAATTCAATATAAAATAGAGAAAGATCTGTAAGATGATATCAAACATTTATACCTCCAACTTCAGACCAATCAACGCCGGCAAGCAGCTGCTCTTTCCATCTCCTCAGGCTCTCGTCATCCTAATCAACAAGAACCTCAATCCAATCATTAAAATAAATAAATAAGAAGTAAAAACCAAATAACTATAACCTCCATTCCAGTTTCTCTCTCGCCCAATAGAGAATTTGAAAAGGAAGATAAAGAAAGGAAAAGGTGGAACCTAGTCCATCTCGAGCAGTTCCCTGAGAGACAACTGAGAGCCAAGCGCCACATGTGCGTCATTCCCGTCATCATCGTCGTTCTCCTCCGCATCTTCGAAGTTCTCCTCCGCATCTTCGTATTCATCCTCGCTACCATCCGTGGAGTAAATAGAAGCACTGCTCATCTCCCTTTCGAGTTCGTTCTCTGAATTGAAAGTGGTCCCTTTGCTTCTCGTTTCAGAGAAAGAGCACGCAGGGGATGATGTGAGACGGAGAGATCTTAAGAATAGAAGAAGATAGTCTTGGCTTTTGTTTCTTTATTTCTAAGGTTATACGTCATAGGCAAAAATGCCGGAGAGAAGACCAAATTAAATTGATGTTGCTTTTCAGAAATTTAAATTGATGCCGCATAAGATTATGGCTCACAGATCTTAAATGGCGGAAGGCACATAGGCAGAGAACTCTTCCCCGTCATTGGTCTTCTCTCCAACATTTTTGCCGATCCTAGAAGACGTATAACAATTTTTCTTTAGAAATAAAGAAACAGAAGTCAAGTCTATCTTCTTATATTTTTAAAGATCTTTCCTTCTCCCATCGTCTCCTGCGTGCTCTTTTTCTTAAAAGAGAAGCAAAGGGACTACTTTCGATTCGGAGAACGAACTCGAAAGTGAGATGAGCAGTGCTTCTGTTTACTCCACGGACGGTAGCGAGGATGAATATGAAGATGCGGAGGAGAACGACGATGACTGGAATGACGCACATATGTCGCTTGGCCCTCAGTTGGCTCTCAGAGAACTGCTCGAGATGGACCAGGTTCCACCTTTTCCTTTCTTTATCTTCCTTTTCGAATTCTCTATTGGGAGAGAGAGAAACTGGAATGAAGGTTATAGTTATTTAGTATCTACTTCTTATTTATTTATTTTAATGGTTGGATTAAGGTTCTTGTTGATTGACGAGAGCCTAAGGAGATAGAAAGAGCAGCTGCTTGCCGGCATTGATTGGTCTGAAGTTGGAGGTATGAATGTTTGATATCATCTTATAGATCTTTCTCTATTTTATATTGAATTCATTTTCAATTCCTTATTTTTCAATTATTACTTGTTTTGGCTTTGTTCTTGTGAAAAGCATGATATTTTCCTCTATTGATCCTTCAATTATCTATCTGATTTTTCTCTTTTTTTGTTATACTTCAATAAAAAATAACTTGTTTAATTGTGTGGCTTAACTAATGCAGAGAATCCTAATCCAGAAGTGACGATCCAGAGCCTCACAATCATCACTTCTGATAGACCAGATCTTGTTCTACATATCCCCTTTAACCGAAATACGAGGAGCTTTGCATTTACTCTTAAGCAGGGAAGTCACTACTGATTCAAACTCTTATTCACTGTGTTGAATAATATTGTATCAGGACTCCATTACACGAACATTGTGTGGAAGATGCCTGAATTCTTACAAGGTAGAGAAAGACGAGCAAAAAATAGTCCTTTAATTCTTTTAACTGTTATTTTATATCATTTTGGTTCAGTTGGTCACTTAATATGCGACTTGCTTGATATTGTGCAGTTGAAAAAAATAGTTATGCTGGGATCTTTCAACCCTCAAAATGAGCCATACACCTATGAGCTAGAAGAAGATATCACCCTTTTTGGCTTATTTTCACTAGGGCCTTGTATTGCTGGAATAATAGTAAACAACATTCATGTTTGAGGCTCTTTTGTTTTTTCTATTAAAATCTTACAAGGATCTCTTTTTTGATGTTTCAGTTTGTGAATGATGATGATAAATGCTATTTGCAAGTGATCTATGAGTTCCAGATAAGAGATGATTTGTCATAGGCTTTTTCACAAGCATAAAAATCAGCCAATGTTAGGGATTTTATATTAGTTTTTGCATATTGCTATTCTTTGCTATTTTATTTGGGATGTCATTAGTTTTCAACTTTGCTATTCTTAGCTCTTGTATTTGGGATGTCATTAGTCATGATAATAAGGTTCTTCCTTTTATGACTTTGTTAAAGGAAGAATATGTGGTATCCAGT